CTGAGCCAAAGCAAAAGGCCCACGCTTAACTGACTGTACCACCCAGGCACCCCACCCCCTTCTTTTTTAAATTAGGTAAAATCGACACATGCTTTATACAAAGTTCAAAAGGCACAAAGGTGTATATTATGAAAAATAAGTCTCCCTTCACCCTTGTTCCCCAGTCACCCATCAGAAATGATGCCACTAGTTTCTTGGGTAACATTCAGAGGCCTCATTCCTTTGACGAGCAGCATAGCTGCCCATTGTATGGATGTACCAAATCCATGCACCAAATTATCTTGGTGTTTCATTAGAGGGACACTTAGATTGTTTCCACCGCTATTACCCACAGGATCTAAATTCCATGTCAGTCTTATCAATTACTTATCACTCTTAACTTTTGTTAGCAATACAGTGTTCCAGATTGTATAGATGCACCATATTCATTTATCCATTTCTCTACTGAAGAGGTTAGGCTTAAATACCGTTGCTCTGCTCCTAGGACACTTACACTATTAAGCACTTCTGCCATTTTGCCCGCAATGCAGTTTCCTCCGTACTCCTCCACTGCACTGTGAGCTCCTCAAAAGCAGGGGAAAGTGTTCCTATTCCTCTTTGTATCCTCATAGCCTAAAACCCCGAATTTGGTCCAGAGTATACATTCACCACGTTTGAGTGCAATAATAATTGAATTGCCCGCGCTGAGTTCTGGAATCGAGTGCCGGGAGGTGGAGCGAGGGGAAAGCCGAGCCGCGTTTGAGCTGTCCCGGCCTCAGAGGGCCCGGAACCTTTGTTAGAAGCCTCATTGTTTCTCAGGGAGCGTTTTAGCCTCAGCGCGAGCCCCGCAGAGGCATGGTTGTTACGCGCCGGAAGTAGCCTGTTACTTTGCAGGAGTCGGTTTTTCCGCGGGGCGGAAAAGGTCTGTCAGCATGTGTCCCTACCATTTCCAGCCCCCTTTCCTTGCAGGACCCCATGAGTAAGCTGTGGCGGCGCGGGAGCACCTCTGGGGCTATGGAAGCCCCTGAACCCGGTAAGCGCGGGTCGATCAAGCAAGTTAGGCGTTCACAGAAAAGGAGTCCCCTTTTTGCTCTTCCGAGCCTCCAGGGTACTTCGCTACAGGTGGGAAGGAGAAAGGCGGGGCTGTTGTTATGGTAACAGCGTGTACCGCGGGAAGAGTGGGGCCCCTCGGGGGTATTGGGTTCTTCCAGGCTCTCGCTGCCCCTCTCTTATCATACACCGTTGACAGGCTCTCCTCACGCAGGGGAAGCGCTGGAATTGAGTCTGGCGGGTGCCCACGGCCATGGAGTGCACAAGAAAAAGCACAAGAAGCACAAGAAAAAACACAAGAAGAAACATCATCAGGAAGAGGAGGCTGGGCCAACGCAGCCGTCACCTGCTAAGCCCCAACTTAAACTCAAAATCAAACTGGGTGGGCAGGTCCTGGGCACCAAGAGGTGAGGCCAAGAAAGCCAAGGTTTTACTTGGGGGACTTTAGGAGCAGGCAGAGATAGAAGGAGAAGCTGGCTGGGCTTTCCAGCAGACAGAGAATGGACACTGACTTCAGGGCCCAGGTGAAGGCAGAACCCAGGAGGGTGTAGGGGAATGCTGGTTGTACAACCAAGCAGGAGGAAAGAACTGCTCAGCTTACACAATGGTTGCTTCTCTGCAGTGTTCCTACTTTCACTGTGATCCCTGAAGGTCCTCGCTCACCCTCTCCCCTTATGGTTGTGGACAATGAAGAGGAACCTATGGAAGGAGTACCCCTTGAGCAGTACCGTGCCTGGCTGGGTGAGAAGAATCTGGAGGTGGGGACACTGGGTTTCTCATTATACCTGGTTAAAGGAAGAGGGTTGGTTCTGAGGAGGGTGAGAATTTTGAGTGTCTCAGTATTAACTTGGCCAAATTAGGGTTCCACATCTGAACAATTCTACTTTTAGCTCTCCAACTTTGCTTTCCAGATGAAGACAGTAATCTGTCCCCCTCCCCACTTCGGGACCTGTCAGGGGGCTTAGGAGGTCAAGAAGAAGAGGAGGAACAGAGGTGGCTGGATGCCCTGGAGAAGGGGGAGCTTGATGACAATGGAGATCTCAAGAAGGAGATCAATGAGCGGCTGCTCACTGCTCGACAGGTAAGTTGGTTCATTCTTTGTTCACTGGCTAAATATATATTGAGAACTTCCCGTGTCCCAAGAATGTTGCTAGGTAGTGGGGATATCAATGGCGAAAAAAGGGAGAAGGTTTCTGTTTTCATGGAGCTGGTATTTGTGTGTGTGTGTGTGTGTTGGGGGGAGAGGAGTAAGTAAGTAAATAAATAATTTTGAAAAGTACAGTTTATAACAAAAATAGGATGATGAAGTAGAAAGTGGTGGGAAGAGACAACACTAGATAGGGAAGGCAGGGAAGACCTCTCTGATGAGATTACATTTCCAATACTAGAGGAGCCTTTCAGGCAGAGACCAGCAGGTGCAAAGACCCTGAGAGTGCAACATGCCTAGTAATGGCCAAGGAGAAAAATAAATGTGACTAAAGCATGAAAAGGTTGCATGCAGGAAAGTGATATATTTGATTTATATTTCAGTAGATTACTTTGGCTTCTTAGTGGAGGTAAGGAGTAGAAGCAAGACCTGCCAGGAAGCTATTGAAGTAGTCCGGCGAGAGATGGTGGTGGCTTGAACCAAGGTGGAATTTGTGGATATGGAGGAAATCGGATGAATTCTGGATATGTTTTGGAAATAGATACTTGTTGGGAGTCAGGGAGCGGCCAGAAAAGAGGAATTAAGGGTAACCCTGAGTTTTGGGCTTGAGCAGTTATCCAGTTGATGCTATACCCCTGAGATGAAAAGATTTTTTTTTCAGGAGAAACTTTATTCAGATCTTGTGTCATGTTAGAATACTTCCAAAATCAAACAGAATTATCAGTCAAATGTTTAACTAGACAGACAAGGCAAAGCTTCAGAAACAAAAAGTCTGAAGCAGTTACTTCTAAAAAGCCATCCCCTTAAGTAGCATCACATACTTGTCATAAACCTGTCATTTTCTATTTTAATTTAAAAGAAACAAAAATAGGTTGTGGTTTTTTTTTTTTAATTTGTGTAACGTGTTAGCAAATTGTTTAGCAAAATAAATCCTTCTGATTAGGAACCTAACACATTTAAAGGAAGAAGAAAGACCTCAGATCTATATATACAGCAACACCACTATAAATACACTGCATAGTCACCCTGAGATCTATTTTGTTTTCAATGCATATCAGAGTTTTCAAAAATGACAGCTTCTTGTGACTACATGCTCTCGATTTGCTCAAATGCTCTGTCTGGGTGAGATGCCACTTGTTTAAGAGCAGCTTCTGACTGGCCACATCTATGGATCCGCTGTTAAATCTGTATCACCTCCAGACCTCCTTTCTTCAATCGTAGTATCATCCGATGACATGAAGTAAAGATCCTTTCCCACTGTTTGGAATGAGATGAAAAGATTTAAAACAGAAAACAAAGCAAAACAAACCTCTGGAGAGGTGGTAAACAGAGTTTTGGTACTCAGGGCAGGCAGGAAACATGAATGCTTTTCTTCTTTAGAGTCAAGGTTCTAAGGATGAAAGTCTGGAGATCTGGGAGGAGGCTGTACAAAGGCACCTGGAGAGGGTGCTCATTCCACCCCTTCTCTCAAGGCCCGTGCTCCTCAACACCCTGCTTTCCAGATCCCCACATGCCCTTGCCCCCGTTTGGGCAGACCTCGCTCTCTGACACCACTCGGTCTGTCTCTCCCCAGCGAGCTCTGCTGCAGAAGGCGCGGAGTCAGCCTTCCCCGCTGCTGCCGCTACCTGTGGCTGCGGGCTGCCCGGCCCCGGCCCTCACCGAGGAGATGCTGCTGAAGCGCGAGGAGAGGGCGCGAAAGAGGCGGCTGCAGGCGGCCCGGCGGGCGGAGGAGCACAAGAACCAGACTATCGAGCGTCTCACCAAGACTGCGGCGCCCAGCGGGCGGGGAGGCCGAGGGGCGGCGCGGGGCGAGCGACGGGGAGGGCGGACCGTGGCCCCGGCCCCCATGGTGCGCTACAGCAGCGGGGCACAGGGTTCCACCCTTTCCTTCCCACCTGGCGTCCCCGCCCCCGCGCCAGTGTCTCAGCGGCCATGCCCATCTGGCCCTCCTCCTCGATGCTCCGTCCCCGGCTGCCCACACCCGCGCCGCTACGCCTGCTCCCGCACGGGCCAGGCGCTCTGCAGCCTTCAGTGCTACCGCATCAACCTGCAGATGCGGCTTGGGGGACCCGAGGGCCCCGGATCCCCCCTTTTGGCTACCTAAGGCCCTGACCTAACCTGGACTCTGCGCCCTCGCCCCTGCCCCGTTTTCATTATTTTCCCCACCTTATTAAATTTCATCCGGTGCCTCGACTTGTACAGAGTTGGGGAAATGGGATATGGGCAGGCCAATGCCCCGTACACACATTTTGCCCTCACGGGAGATTGCGTCAACACCTGGGAAACGGCCATTAGGCCGCAAGAAGACTTGGGCGGACTTTTGGGGACCACCACCCCCCCCCGCCGCCGCCCCGCCTCTCCGCCTCTTGGCCTCTTCCGGTGGGATTACCTGGCTTGGTCGGGCCTTCGGCGTCATCCCTGAAAGTAGTGCTCAGGCCAATCAGCGGAGACTTTGCTTGTCTGGACGGCCGTTTATTGGCTGATAATGCAGAGCCCGTTCTGTTGTCCATATTGGCTATTGTCGCTGTCAGTCAGGGCCATGGGTCGAACCTTGCCCCACTCTTTGTGTAAGCTCTTGTTGTCTGGGAGAGTGGCGGAGGCGCTGCTGTAGATTGGTCCCTGGGAGAAACCTCTGGTCCGTTCCTATTGGCCCGTCCGCCGGCGGGCATCGCTGATTGGTAGGGCCGAGCAATCTGGGTCCTAGTTGGCAGAGCTCTCCCCGGATGGAAGCTCCGGCCGCGGAGTGATGGAGGCGGCAGCGAAGATGGGCCGGGCAGAGACCATGGCGGTGGCGGCAGAAGTGGCAGGGGCGGGGCGCCTGGCGATAGAGGAGGCTGTGGTCTACAGGGGGCTGTAGGTGGAGGCATGGCTCAGGCCAGCAGCGGGAACGGCAGCGAGGAGGCCTGGGGGGCACTTCGCGTGCCGCAACAGCAGGTATCCCAACTGCTCCAAAAGCCTATCACGACAGCCATTTATTTCTCTTTCCCCTCTCCTTGTCCCTTCCTTTTGGGGGGTTGGGGAGGAACTCACGTAGCCAAAGATACTGTGAAGTTCCTAAATATGTCCCTTCTACTCTTTGTCTAAACTTTGTAACGTAGATGCAGTTGACTTTGCCTGCAGCTTCTTAGACCCCCATCCCGTGGTTGCAGTGGAAGCTTGCAGTGGCTGTCCAGTGACCAAAGGCATAATGAGGCCCAGGGAAGCTCCCTCTGGCTTGCAACAGTTATTTGTGATGTTTTTCTGTGTGCCTATTGTCACAACAGAGTCCGGCAGCGTCTTCTCTTGAGGGAGCAATTTGGAGAAGAGCTGGAACCCAGACTCGCGCCCTGGATGCCATCCTTTATCATCCACAACAGTCCCATCTGGTTGGGAGCACTGCTCTGGGTCTCATATGGCCCTTCCTGAGACCCAGGGGTGGAAAGATCCAGCGTGGGGGTGGGGAGGCAGACCGTGCGGGGGATAATGAAAGCATCCTAGCATTGGAAATTACCTTAAACCCTTTACCCATTGTTTGAGACTTTGAGATAGCTCAGACTGCCCCCTGGCTTCTGCCCAAACACTCCCTTAACAGAAAACACCCTGGGGAGCCAGCCTGAGTGTGAGAGAAGTCTCTGTATGCAGAACTGAAATCCGCCTCTTTCTATGTCCACACCTTGCATCTTGTTCTTTAGACAGATTCTTGTTATTCCAAATCCTCTTCCATGTCAACAACCCTTCAGATATTTGATCACTCCTCTCACTGTCACTCTTCCCCTCCCCACAGATCTCTCTGAGCTCAACTTGGCTCACAGGGTGGGACTGTGTCCCTGCATGCGGGGGGGGGGGGTGCGGACAGTGCCTGGGGCTGGGATCTCCTTTGGTTCTAAGTGCCTCCTTGCTCCCAGCTTCGAGAGCTCTGCCCAGGAGTGAACAACCAGCCCTACCTCTGTGAGAGTGGCCACTGCTGCGGGGAGACGGGCTGCTGCACCTACTACTATGAGCTCTGGTGTGAGTCTCCAAGGGGGCTGTTCTTGGGTCCTTCTGCCCACCCTCCCTTGGGCCTCAAAATTCCAACCTTCATGGACCTTTCTCTGCCTGGGAGGTATCTAAGATCCTCCCTCCTCACCCCTTGCAGGGTTCTGGCTGCTCTGGACTGTCCTCATCCTCTTTAGCTGCTGTTGCGCCTTCCGTCACCGGCGAGCTAAACTCCGGCTGCAGCAACAGCAGCGCCAGCGGGAGATCAACCTGTTGGCCTACCACGGGGCATGCCATGGGGCTGGCCCTGGCCCTACCGGTTCACTGCTTGACCTTCGTGAGTGGCTTGAGGCTCTGGGCCCACTGGCAGCGGCCCCTCCCAACCCAGAACCCTGAATCATCCCCACATTCCCTTTTCGGACATTTCAAAGCACCCTTTCCCTAATAGGAAAGGTACCACTGCCCCACCGCTGGTTGCCCCACCAACCATGCCATCTTTCCTGCAGGCCTCCTCAGCGCCTTCAAACCCCCAGCCTATGAGGATGTGGTTCACCGGCCTGGCACACCGCCGCCTCCTTACACCGCAGCCTCAGGCTGCCCCTTGACTGCTTCCAGTGACCGCACCGGCCGCTCCTCTGCTTCTAGCTGCCGTGCCCACTGCGAGGGAACAAATGTGGAAGGTGTTGCCTCCCACGGGAGTGCGCCCCCTCATCAGGAGGGTGAGCCTGGGGCAGGACTCAGCCCTGCCCCCACACCCCCTTCTTGCCGCTATCGCCGCCTGACTGGTGACTCAGGTATTGAGCTCTGCCCTTGTCCTGACTCCAGCGAGGGCGAGCCAGTCAAGGAGGCTAGGGCTAGTGCCACCCCACCAGATCTGGAGGGCCCTTATGTGCTGCCCCTCGATCCTGTACCCCAGGTCTCTCCTGTGGGGCTAGCTTCCACTGAAGGGGACATCCCATAAACAGTTTTGGGAGGGTGGCTGGATTCCTTGCCCACCAGAAACAGCCCGGGGCTCATATCCTCAAGTTCTCCTTCGCCTCTCCCTGCCGCCTCGAATCTGCCTGAAAGGGGTGGAGTCCTGAGGAGAGCGGCAGTGTTTGGGGGACTGTGCTAGCTGTACCCCCAAAAAACATACACAGGAGCCTTTGATCTCATTAAAGAGATGTGAACCAGCTGCTTGTGAATTTGGGTGGACCAGTGCTCAACTTGCTGCATTGCACTTGACCTACTGGATTTGGAGGGGATATGTAATGGCCACTTTTCCCACCCTCCTCTGAAGAATAGTAGGCAGCCCTCAGGTCTGGACTGACTAAGACCTCTTGGTGAGGCAGAGCTGGCAAAAGCAATAGAGCTTGGCATGGTTTTCCAATTTATTTAGAAAAATAGACTCTGAATTCACATTCACCCCAGGGCTATGTGGGATGACAGTAAGGAGACACCTGAGATGAGCTGAAGAGGGTTTGAAGCACTAGTATCTGAGGGCTGGGGGCAGAAGCTAGAGACCTTGTCCTTCTATTCCAGAGTGGGGGCCTGGCACCCCTCTCAGCCTCCCTCTTCAGTAGTCTTCAGCCATGGCCAGTAGGACAAGGCTGGTCCAGCCTTGGAAAGGGCGGCAGCCCATGCCCCGCCCATCCCGGTCACTATACTGCTCCCAAAGGAAACCCGTGGCCTGATACTGCCGCCACACATTGCCCACCACATTGGCACGGAGCTCACTGTGGAGCTTGGCAGCCCGGGCCTGGTGGGGACCCTCCAGATGACCATAGTGGTAGAGAGCCCCTAAGGCTAGGTAGTTGACATTGAGCCACACGGCACCCCGCCAGTAGGGAGGATCATGCTCTGAATTGCGCTGGCCATAAAAGGGGCTGGAGGCTGCAAGGGAGCGCAAACCAAAGGGGCTCCAGAGATGGCGGCTGTCAGCTAGGACATCCAGCAGGGGCCCAAGGCGGGAGGAGTTGGGGTCCAGCAGCCGCAGCAGCATGGGAAAAAGACTGACATAGCCCAAGGCATCCACGTACTGTAAACGAGGGTGGGGCCGGCCCACCACCCGCACCAGCCCCTGAGGGGGCCGAGGCTTCAGCTGCACTGCTCTTGTGTGGTTTCCAAAGTCTGCAAAGACTCCTAGCTCTGGGGCCCAGTGCAGCTCATCCAGGCTCTCTTCTGCCTCCAGTGATGCAGCCAGTGGGCCCAGCTCCGCAGCTGCCTCCGCCTCTCCCAGCTGCTCTGCCAACCGTACCAGCACACGGGCACCCAGTGCCACCCAGCACCGCAGGTCCAGGTGCCGCTCACTGGCTGAAGGATGCGAAGCCCGGGGATAGTCATCCAGCCCCGAAGGCAGTGTCTTAGGGTTCAATAGGGTTGGCAAGGCAGGGTCCCGGCCCCGCCAGCGATAAGACAGTGGCACTGGCCCTGCCTGACTCTTATAGAGCCAGGAGAACCAGGCACGCAGGCGGGGGAAGGCCCTGCGGAGGAAGGCAAAGTCAGCAGGGTCACCACTCTCTAGCATGTGGGCTACAGGCAAAAGCAGGGTTGGGGGATTGGCATGCGCTGCCCTTTGCACCAGGAATTCTGGGGGCACCCGGGCTCGGGCCTCATCCCCCAGCACCTGCTCCCGTCCAATCCAGCCATCAGCATTGAGCAGCCCCAGCCAGTGACCTAGGACCTCCCGCGTAATGCGGGGATCCCACCGCTGGACCACCAGCTGGTGAAAGCCTTCATCCCAAAGGAAGCCTCGTGGGAAGAATGACCGGGAGGGCACTGCCGTGAAAAGAGGGACAGGTGGAAAGAGGGCTGGGTCCACCTTCTGCTCAGACCCCTCAACCCCCATGTCTGCCAACACCAGACCCTGTCCATAGAAGTAGCCAATCCCACCAAGGAGGCCACTGAGGGCAGCCTGACCCAAAGCCTGCTCCTCAGGGCTCAGGCCCTTCCCCTTCAGTTGAAAAGTCTTCTCAAAGTGCTCTCTAAAGGTGTCAGCATGGCTCTCCAGGGCTCGGGTCAGCAGGCTGCCGGCCAGCTGCTCCCAGGGTTGGCTTCCTCCTGCCCGGGCACTGCCCGATTCAAACACCAACTCCACGGAAAAGGGGACTTTCAGTGTCACCTGTTGTATCAAGAATTGCCCTTGTCCCTGTCCTTGCCCACTTGGGCCTTTGTCCTCCCACTTCAGAGATCCTGGCAAGCCGAGATAGCGTTCAGGGGAAGCCCCTGGTGGCCGGTGCTGAAACCAGCTATTTAGGCGACTCTTCACCATCTCTGTCAGCAAGGGAAGTCCTGGGTTGGAGGACCAGAAGACATTGTAGCTTGAAGAGAAGAAGATATGGAGAAAATTACTCAGGAGAATACGGTAAGGATTATAAAGAGAAATAAGATGAGATCAGCAGTCAGAATGGAAGGGTCTTGGCAACGCAGGGGACATGGAGCCTGGTGAGAAGGGAAAAAAATGGTGGAAAGAGGGTAGAGTGGGGCAGATTGAAATCAGGCTAAGTCCACATCCATACCACCCCTACCAGCACCTCCACCTTCTCTCTTCCCCTAGTTACCTGCTGTACTTAGGGGCAGTGTCCCCTGGATTGGTTGGTGCCATAAGTGTAAAACGGAAGTCACCAAGTTCACTGGAGTGCCCACTGATGAATTTCAATTGCCCCTTGGCCCCAACCTCTGGCACTAGGACTTCCTTGCCATCTGTCACCACATAGAAGAACAGGGACACCAAAGGGAGGGTAGAGGTACCTGAAGTCTGGATGACCAAGGAGGACAGAAAAACATAGCATTAGATTAGCAGTACCTCCTGAAAATTCAGCTTTACTGAAAGGGGCACCATGCAGGAGCAACATGGTAAACATACATCTACAGTGTTGAGGGTCAGTGAGGATAAGCACCCAGTGAGATGAGGTATAAAGCTTTGCACAGGGTTCTCTGGGAAATAATAGAATGCTTTTGTGTCATGTACTATACTAAGAACGCTACACATCATTTTCTTTCATTCGTACAATTCTATGAGTTAAGTGCTATTTGCATCTCCATTTTGCAAAAAGGAAACCATGGCTTATGGATAGTAAATAGAGATGGTCATACAGACAAATGTTTAAGGCAGGCAGCCAGACTCAGAGCCCCTGCTGTTAACTGCCACATCACACTGCATTTGCTGGCAGCAAAGAAAGGGTGAAGGGAGTCTGGGCTGGGGGAAGGGTGTCCTGAGGCCCTGACCTGAGGTTCTACAGTCACTCTCCAGCTCCAGTCCCCTCCGTGCTGACCCCCAGGCCTCTTGACGAACTCAGTGGTGAGCCTTAAGGCCCCATCCTGGATGTGTTGCCGCCCGAAGGAGAGACCGTCGTGGAACTCCCAGCCATAGGGACCCACGCCGTCCCCCTGCTCACACGTGTGCCTGAGCTTAGGGGTCCCTGGGGTGGCGCCTTGCTGTGCCCACATCAGTCCTGGGGGTAGAATGGCCACGTAAGTCAAAGAGAGAGCAGGGGACCTGTCCCTCTGGGTCTCCAAGAATTTCAGGGTCATCCCTCCTCAACTCTCCTGAACCACACCCCTCCCCACTCTTGATCTGGCGTGAAGCTGGGGCTCCCAGATTAAGAGTCCGCCTGTCTACCCGCCTGTCCCGAGGCCCAGTTACCGGTGAGGAGGGGCTTCGGGCTGCGGGTCTTCATGCCGAAGTAGACGTGAGGGCGATAGGTGCCCCAGAAGAGGTCCGGGGCCACGGCGGGGCTGGAAGAGTCGGGAGGCAGTGCCGGGGGCGCGGAGTGCAGTGTGACCGCCCGCCGCGCACGGTGCCACGCCAGCAGCCAGCAACCTGACAGGCCCAGGGCCAGAGACAGGACCACGACGCCCAGAGCCGCTCTCCAGGCAGAACCACGGGCCTCGCCGCCCCGTCGTGCGGGACCACCCCGAACCGCCCTTTCAGTTGTCCGCGGTCCGTCTGCCGGCGCTCCGCGGCGCCGCCGCTCGCCCCGAGCCATCCTAGAAGGGAGGTCGCGTTGCGGGAGCTCGGAGAGGCGGCAATGGAGCCCGGGTCCTGCTTTGTCTCCCCGGCTTGCGCGCGGCGCACCGGCAGCCACAGATCTGTCAGCCGAACCTGCCGGCCCGCGCCTCCCGCTCCGCTTCCGCCTCCTGCCGGAAGCCCCGCCCCGCCACGTCCGATTAAGTCTCCGAGTCCCGAACCGCCGCCACCGGCGTGGCAAAGTGCTGGTTGTCTCCAGGGTTAACGTTTCTTTGGCCATCTCACGGATTTCACAAGCTAGTAGAGAAAAGTAATCTCACATTGGCTTTTTTGTTTTTCAAATGACTATATAAAGAACCTGAAACGCCATGCCGAGTGTTTTATTACATGTAACCGCCCCAATCAGGTGGCTGAAAACTGGCCTAGAAAGTTAAAGTAACTTGGCCCTGGCCACAGAGCCAGGAAGTGGCTAGCTTGGAGCCCAAGTGTATCTTAAACAGACTGGATCACTTTGCCCACACCCATGCCTTCTTTCCTAGTTAAGTGGAGTGTGCCAGAGTGGACCCAAGAGGAAGCCTGAGATCTGTTCCAACAGTGTCTTTAAGCGACCCTCTGACAGTTTAGGACTCCTTATCTAGATGAACCCTAAAAGGACCGTAACGGTGGTGCATGCACTTTAAAGAATGCATTTTACCCCCTCTTTTCTACAACCCAGGAAGCACAGAAGCTTAGGGGAAGGATCAATTATATCCAGGTCAGAGAAGGCTATAGGAAGTGGCATCTGCACCTCAGGGGGACCTAGGAGAGTTGACATTACAATTAATGGTGGTTCAGAAAAGCAACTTGGATTCAGTTACTTGTTTCTCACAAACAGCCTGGCATAAAAGGTATTTTCATAAAGTACAAGTCCCTATCATCCTTTAAAAAACCCTACTCAACACCATGATGCTACTCTAGCTATTATCACACCTCCCATCCAAACTCATTATATAAAGTTAACACTGTATGTTGCATGTTCACTTTCTATTTTGCTATAACCTGATATCTGACCACCGCCCCCTCCCCCGGCCGACTAGACTTTTTGCTTTTTCAACAATCACCTTCTGACCAATCCCAATGGTCACTCCTGTCTTTACCTTTCTTGCTACCATTGCATCTAGTTCATATCTCTATTGTAGCACTCATTACATACCTGGGTTTCATTATTCATCTTTGTATGCCAGTACTAATCAAAGTTACAGGCACAAGGTAGATAGTAAATATTTGTAAATTCAAGACATGTTTATTGCACACTATGTATCAGGCACTATGTAAAGTGCAGGGGACACAGAAAAAACAGCCCCAACCTCAAGTTCACAGTGCCAGCATTCAATCTATGTTTACAGCAATGTCTGAACCATCCCCATATTTACAGATGAGGACAGTGGTAAAATCTGGCCAGAGATAACAGCCAGTTAACCATCAAGCTGAGGAACTACAATCTAAGCGGGCAGTATCCTTTCGGCTATAGCATAAGGCCTTAGACAACACTTATGCTCACGGTAATGTTCTAGGCGCTCTACAGATACCAACTCATTTAATCCTCTCAACAGTCCTAGGAGATAGGTACTATTATCCCCATTTTACTAGTGAGGAAACAGGCACTGAGACTAAGTAATTTTTCCACAGTCACAGAGCTACTTAGGGACCATGTTAGGATTTCAACCCCAGGAATTCTGGCTCTTTACTACACCATACTCCCTCCTGGTAGGTTGTTTTTTGGTAGTTTCTTTTTTAAAGGGGGAGGGGGGAAAAACCAGCTCTTGAAGATCGCACCCTTTTAAGCAGAGCAGCAGTGTACTAACGCTGTAGCAAAGTCATGGAAAATGTATTTGGCAAAGGACACAAGCAGCCAGTGTCAAGAGATCCTTGATTGCCTAGCTAAGCATTCTGAAGTTCTCTAAACCCGTAGCCATCAACCATTTTTCCTACAATCCGAGGTAAGAATAATTCTACACTGCAACCAAGTACATGCAGATACACACATATATACATAGTTTCTATTTTATATACGTATATTTATGATTATAGGCTGAACAATTTCTTAAAAGAATACTTCCCATTCCTGTGCCATGCACTCTGATACTTTTTGTTCTATTTTACTTTGTTTTTTAAAGGTTGATTTATCCCCCTAAATTGATTTCATGATCCACACCCAGTATGAAAAACATGTTAGGCACAGTGTGAAGCAAGTAGTAGCAAGACATAAAAACAGTGATGTGCTTTGAAAAATAAAGTTAAGCAGCAGCAAAAATGATCAGAAAAAAAGGAGACTGGGTGCAGAATACAATGATACAGTTAAATGAATGGGAATGGAGAAAACATTTCAGAAGCTTTTGTTTAAGACAGAATATTCTGAACTTACTGACTGGATATGCAGGGAAAGGGAGAGGGCAGAACCAGAGATAATGCTATGGTTTCCAGCCCCAGTGGCTGAGCAGATGAGTGCCCTTAAAAGGAATGGCGAAGTCAGGGGAAGAGGCAAGTATATGTGTATATAAGATGATCAATTCTATTTTGGACAAAGAGTGTTGTGGAATTTGGAGGAAATCAGTAGTATGTAACCTGACTTTAGCAGAGTAGTTGAGATTAGAGCCAAAGAAAAATGCAGGATTTAACCCTCTGTTATGACAGAGGATGAAATGCCCCAGAAATAGAGAAAAAAGTGAAGGATGAGAGCAGTACACTTTTATGATTAAAAGGAAGAAGACCCAAGAGGAAGAGAAGTTCCACAAGGGAGTGAATTAAAAGTGGCAGATGCTACTGAGATGGAAAGATGAGGACCGAGAAAAACAGCACTGGATTTGGCCGATGACTAAGAGGTACCTTGAGTGAGTGACGGAAGAAACCAAATTCAAAAGGGTTAAGCACGGGCCGATGGTAAGAAAGTGAAATAAATTCAAGTTTGTCCAGACCCCTATCTGATCGTGTCTCGTTCCAGAAACGTTGGTTTATCAGTAATCACGGGACCCTCTCTCTCTCTTTTTTTTTGGCGCTCCGTGTCCCTTCAGACGGTGATTCGAGTGATGAAGTCTCTCAAGCTCTTCTTAGGTAGGTATCCTAACAATCCCAAGCTAAAATCTGATTGTTGGGCTTTTCTGCACTGTCAGCGCCCGGTACCAGCGCCGGGCTTGTCCCCGCTTCCCGCTGTAGCCCTGGCCTGGATGTGGGAGGCAAAGGCTGTGACCATTGCTTGAGCAGTGAGGTGAGCGCCGCGCATAACCAGGCGATGCCCGTCTCCTGGGGAAGAAACAAACGAGTCAGGCACCGGGAGGGCGGCGGGGCCGGGACTGAGGGCGCGCGTGGGCTGCCTGACACCCCTCCCGCCCGCCTCCGCACCGGAGCCCACCGAACAGCACGTCCACGCAGGGCTCGGAGCCGTCGTGCCTCACGTCCGCAATCACCGAGCAGTTGAGGTTAGTGGACCGGACCTTCTCGCTGCTCACCGCCTGGAGGAAGGTCCTGCCGAGGAAAAACTGCTTGAGCGCCCGGCCGAGGGGGGTAGACCCCCGGCGGGAGGTAGACGCGGCCCCTTCCCGTCCCCACTCCTTCCGCCTCGTACCTCGTTGACTCCACATTCTTCTCGAAGGGGCAGAATTGAACCCGAACCTGCTTCACAGATCGGAGGCCGAGCCGAGCTCAGGACGCCGCCATGGTGACCTCCGCCCCGGAAGGCCTAGTGCGGCCGGAAGTGTCCTCCACCGCAATGCTCCCCTTCCTGCCCTCGGCTGTTGCCGGTGCAGCTCTCCGACCCTCCGATTCCGGCGCCGGCGTTCCGTGGTGCTTGCCCCCGACCCCGACCGCCGCCCCGGGCTCCCCGGCCCGAGAGGAGGAGGAAGGCCAGCAGGGAGGGAGGTAGTTTCCACACAGGGTATGGAGGGCCCCAAAGTAAGCAGTCAGTAAACACCTATCATTAAAAGTCCTCTTGTACCACGGTGAAGCCGATAAATATTGCAAAAGCCGTTGCGCCTGGCTCCGATAACACGTCCGTCTTCTGCAGCCTTTACGCCTTCCGTACGCTGTACGCGGCTGTGCCAGATCTAGGTTAACACCATCTTAAGCGCCGGTCCCTTCGGTGAGGACACGACCATGGCAGGGATTATACAGCTACCAGGGGGTAAACCCTACTCTGGTAACTGAAGATTAAACATGTTGAACTCTGAGTAACCACAGTTTAAACGTGAAGGTCCTTTAGCCCAGTATTCTTAAGTGACTGAAGATAGTTACGAGACAGCGAGTATAGGGTAATACAACCCTCGGGACTGATCCAAGTGTAGAAATGCCTATTCCACCTCTGTGGTTCCCGAGGAACTAACTTAGTGTTTAGCCTGGCTCCTGGGACTTAAAAGTGGCATCCTAGTCTCTCTGCTTTCGATTGGTTTTTCTCTTTCCCTTTCCTCTGGGATCCAACCCTATGGCCCTTCTCGCAGCGCCTAGCCGTGAGAGGTCTTCACTGTTGGGGAACTAGGCCTGAGCCTCCCTTGGATGCTGACCTCCAGGTTCCAGGCTGTGGTTTGGCTCTTTACTCTGGATTGCAGGCACTGGATTGATCTTGGATTCCTCGCTTATAAGTCCAGGCTCTATGTAGCTTGCGGTTCTCAGGTCACCTTTCTTCTAAGTTCCCAAATGTAGGCTTCTTTAATATGCAGTTCTAAATGTCTGGGCTTTTCCAGCCAGAGATGGGGAGCTCTGACTTTCTGGCTCCTGGTCCCAGGCTCCTCAGGATTCAGGACTGATCCCCAGGCAGGAAAGAAAAGGCAAGTGCCAACGGGGGCGCTGGTGCTGCCTCAGGGCAAGCCAGGCCTGCTGATTTCCCACCAGGTAAGCCTCTGGGCTAGGCCCCCCTCCCCACAGAGTGCTTAGCAGCTGAGCTGTCTGGGCTGGGGGTGCTCCAGGCCGAAGAGGGGGCTCCAAGCTTTCCAGGCTGTTGAGGCTGCTGCTGGGTAGTTCCATGGACTGGACCTCATTGCAGGTACCTAGGAAGGCAGGAGTGGAAGACAGGCAGTGGGCAGGAGGAGGGGGTTTGACCACTACTGACAACCACACGAGGTCACTGATGAGGATGGGAGGTAGGGCACATAAAGTAGCAAGGGGCAGGGCAAAGAGAGCCTAGAGTTGGGGAAGAGTGACTCACAGCAACAGGGAGCCCTCCTCTGGACCTCAGGCTTGGGCAGGGGCTGCTGGAATAGACACAGCAGGGCCCCATCCAGCCTCTGGAAGATGTTGAGGGTGAGCAGAGTCTGGCGAAGTTCAGGGGACAGGCCCCACTGCTCCTCCTCCAGCAACTGCCGGACCACTCCAAAGTCTTGTCTGAGCTGCAGCGCCCCCTGCAGGCTGAATGAAGGCCAAGGTACAATGTGGCCACCGGCCTCTACTGCCTCTCGAACTGCTCTGCCCCACCCATCCCCTCCCCGTTTCCAGTTCCGTTCAGCCCTCTGCCACTGCTTCCTTTTCTCCCCACCTGAACCGGATCCCATGCGCGAGGATGTGGTCAAGCCAGGCACCCAGGATGGCTGTCAGTGCCTGGCCAAGGGCAGGGGCCTGGGCTTGGGGTGGCAATCCCTGCAATCCTTGCAACACAGGCTCCAGTACAGTGCGAACCACCAACCCAGCATACTCACTAGGAATGCTGGGCAGTTCTAGAGTGAGAGAAGAGAAAGGACAGGATATGAGGCTATGGAGATCCGCTGAGCCCCTAGCAGTGTTTGGGGGAAGATGATAGGATTTGCAGAGGCACAGAAGGCGAGGACAAGGATGGAGACAGAGGAGTGGTGCTAGGATTTGGAAGGGTCAGGAGACTGTTATCCCCTGGGAACTGTGGGAGGGGACGCTGGGAAGAGGAGTTACCAGGAGAGAGACGATGCCGCCAGTACCGACCCCGTGGCATGTGGAGTTCGAAGCCCTGTGTGGCTTGTTTATGACATTCTTGAAAAAAGAGACTTAGTGACTCTTCAGGCAGGAGCTGTGGACATACGGAGAAAGTAAAAGGGGCTTATCTGTTAGGGACTTGCCAAGTTATGATGCTCTTCTAAATCTGAGGTGTTTAACCTGGCTTCCATAAAGCCCTAGAACAGAATTGTGTGCATAATTCTATGGGCTTGGGCGGTTTTGAGGAGAAATGCCCTAGCTTTTATTGGGTTTTCCTAAAGGTCTGGACCCCAAAAAGATTACAGACAATTGCCATAGGATTACCCTGCTCTCCTCAGCTTGGTTCAGTGTCTAGAAATCCTCCAGGATAATTTTACTCTCTAGGAATATCAACAGGGAAAAAAGAGGGAGACACCCTCACCACTACGAATGTTCCAAAGCAAATGCTAGAGAGAGGGGTCTGCATGATCTACAGACAGGCAGAGGCTGAAGAAAGGGGGAATTGTATGATCTACATCCGTGAAAGGAAGGCAGGAACTATATGCAGACCAGGAGCAACAACTAACTTTCTGAGATTCAGGAACTTTGGAATGTCCTTACACTGAATATTTTTTACACCCTACCTCCATTTCCCCAGAGTAAACTATAAAGCAAGAAAAGGCCCATGTGCTGGTTTGGTTTCTGTGCTTTGATAGGTTATCTTTTTGGAATGGGAGAGCAAAAAAGAGGGGGGTTCTCTACAGCCCATCTTGGAGAGGAACCCCAAGAAATGGGTAATGTGGTGGCAGCTCTGTAAAGACAAGGTGACTGAATGCCTGTTAGCCTGAGGAGAGGAGGGGGTCTGGGGGCTGGATGGGGGGGAAGTGGAGCCCAAGCGGCTCCTGGTACATATCTATCCTGAAAACAGCCTATCCTAAATCCAAATTCTTCCTCTCTTCTCCTGAAAACCAAAACTCCCTCTTATTTATGCCAAGGAAATGACCCTTTTGTCAACTGACATTTGTTAGGAATCTCCCTGCACTCAATACTCTGAGGACACACAAGGTCACACTATGAAATAGTCTTTCTGTCTGGGATGTCACAGTCCAGCTGGGGAGAGAACTTACAACGTCTGATTCTTCTTTCCCATCCCAGGGCCATATGCAGTGGATGCCCAGAGCAAATACCCAACAGTGCAATCACCAGGCAGAGGAACAAGGCATGCAGAGTCCTTCCCACAATGGTTAGTTCACATGGTAAGCACACTGTCCCTATCCCTGTTCTTACAACTACCAAGAGCCAGACCCTTCTCTTATATCTCCTCACCTCCCGACCTGACCACTATAGCTGGATCAGACTCTATCACGGTCTCCACTCCCCTCCTGCTCTTCCCATGGCTTTCCATCATTCATGAGACAAAGCCCAAATTCTGTGGGCTGGTGTTCAGTGCCCTCCACAATTTTATGCCAACCTGCTTTCTCCTCCACAGCCCCCCACCCAACCTTGGACAAAAGTGTGTGTGTGCATGCGTGTATGTGTGTGCATGTGTGTGCGTGCATGCATGTGTATGCGTGTGTGTGTGCATGCACACACACACACATACACACACACAGGGAGTTTCTGCTTTGGTCAGGTCATCTCCACACTACTCCCTCAAGGAACTATGAACTTCCCACCTCCAGTAACCCCTGCCACTCATCTGAGGCTGCCTAGCCACCAGCTCAAGCCACAGACCCTGTATGGAGCCTCTCTAATGACATGCCTGCCGTGGCCTTCCTTCCTCAGAGTTTCCATGGCCATCACTGTCCAACATCCTCATGAGGAGCCTGCTCTGGGGTAGGTTGAGTTGAAGGAGGCAGTAATAAATTGAGGTGGAACAGGCAGATGCAGATGGTAGATTAGGGCTACACAGTGTGTGTTGCCGGGTGGGGGGGGGGAGGCGCAGTGCATAGCACCAAAGCACTGTGGGTAAGCAGGAGTGCAGAGAGCAAAGGAGCAGTGGGACAAAGCCCGAACTCTATAGCCTTGCCCCTGTTCAGGGCAGAGGAGAAACTTGGGCAGGAAGAGAAAACAAAAAAACAGAAACATCTTCCATAGTAGGAACAGATACTGTGCAAAATGGGGAAAAATTAAAATAGAAGTATAATAATTTTACTCATAAGTTTAGAATAAAATAAAATATTAGAAGACAGACAAGAGTGGATGAAGGTTATCACTGTGGAACAGGAAGCAGAGGTGGGGTGGGGGCAATTAAAGTGCTATGTTTTTCATTAGAAGCCTTCTAATGTAATATCCTATTTCACATTTAAACTATGGACATGTATTTAATGAAAATGTAAATGACATATGTAGAAAAGAGGACAAACATCGTCTCAAAGCTAGTAAGTAAAAGGAGGGGCCCTTGGGTGGTTCAGTGGTTAAGTGGCTGACTTTTGCTCAGGTCATGATCTTGGGTCCGGGATCCAGGCCCCCCACCCCCACCTCTGTGCGCTCAGCAAGGAGTCTGCCTGTCCCTCTCCCTCTGCCCCTCCTTCTGCTCGTGCTCTCTCTCTCTCTAATAAATAAATAAAAGCTTTTTTTAAAAAAAAGCTAGTAGGTAAAAGGAAAGAGTCAATCATTTATCTTGCTTTTTCTCTATAAAATATACTTCAAAGTAACCAAGTAATTAATGAGGGCAAACTTTATAGGAGTGAGTCAACTAATAAATGAAGAAGATATGATAGAATTGGAATATCACCACTTTGCACCCCCTAATGAAATAATGGATCTAGGCAGTGATCATCAGTGGCTATTAACATCACAAAATGAGAGCCTGACATATAGGTGAAACAAAATTGACCACGAGTTGATAATTGTTAAAGCCTCAGTGGTAGGAATATGGGGGTCCATTATATTCTTCTCTCTAATTTTGTATATGTTTGAAGTTTTCCGTAACAAGCTAAGGAAAGAGAGAACAAAAAATGAACAGAGCAAGAAAAAATAAATTCAGCAAAGACTCCAAGGAGATTCCAAGTCACTGGAATATTCCACAACTACCACCACCCCAACCCCCAAACTGGGCACAGAACTGACTCTTAAAGTGCCACTGTCAGGGCCCCTGCTCTTCTCACCTGGATCTGTGCAGTTAGCTTCTGGATCTCCAGGCCCAGCTGCTGCTCCACTTCCAGGGCCAAACTTTCCTCTGAGGCCAGTCTAGACAGAGCTGCTGCCTCATGCAATAGAGGCTTTGGCAGAAACCAGAAGTGAGATTTGAGCCCAGCCCAGACTGCTCCCCTTCCCACTCGCTAGCTACTCACAGGTAAGTTCTTCTGGATCAGGACCAGGAAGGAACCTGGGGCCCATGCTGCCAGATGCTGCTGAGTTTGGCCCAAAAACCAGACCAAGGTGGCCTGCAGGGTACAGAGCCCCAGAGCAAGTGGTGCAGGACCTGGGGAGAGGAGGATGGAGTATCTGAGGGGTCACAAAACCCCTCTGGGAGGGGGCAGGCTTCAGAACAGAGTAAAAGAATAAAGGGGACATATTCAATTGTTCTGTTCCTCCATCCCCAGCACCTTGTCTCACCTGGAGGCTGACAGAGGAGTAGCCCTGACCTGGGTTCTCGAAGGGCATCCAAGAGAGGAGGGAAGAGCTGTTGCAAAAGTTCAGTGGTATGAGAGGATGAGGGAAGGCTGCTCTGATCTTCACCAGCAGATCCCAAGGCCTGGCAGAAACCTGAGGATGAGGGATAGGGTTTGATGAGGAAGGGGCAATCTGGGGCTGTTTCACTCCCAATGCCCCTTCCTTCTCACCTTGGTCCCAGCTCCAGATAAGAGACTGATGAAATAGGTTGCGACACAAAGAAGCCAACTCCTTCTCACACTCCTGAGGCAGGGATGCTAGTGGGAGAAATGGCTCTGGAGCCTGAAAAGAAGGCCTCTCTTTTCCAGAACCACTGCCCACTCAATGATGGGGGAAGAGGGGAGGCTTCCACCAAGACTCAAGACTTGAGTGGAAAACAAGACTGGCCTTGAAAGCCCAGATGCTATAGCCTGTCCGGTGGGGAGGGGGGTTAGAGGGGTGGGAGTAAGCGGTGGGGGTGGTAGTGTTCATTCTAAAGGGCCTGCTTTTGCAGTCTGGCTGGCAGGGGAGTGACGTGGCTAGGGAGGAGAAAGAGATCCCAGTCTTCCCAAATGCCCACCCAGGCCCATCACTCACCCTGACCCAGTGCCTGACTCAGCTGTTGTGCCGCTGCCCTGCGGTCCCTCCAGGGTCCTAGACTTAGGTCCAGACTCTGAGCACAAGCTGCCCACAGCAGGGTCCAGTACCGGCTCCACAGGGCTCCAGCCCCTTCAAGCCCCAGTCCACTGCTAGCTGAATCCGCCACGCCCCCCAGCAGCCCCAGCAGCCCGGGCAGCAGCTCCCGCTCCTCTTGGCACCGACTGCGGAGCTGATCCCGCAAGCCCGATCCCTTGAGCGCCTCATCTAGCTGACCAGCCACCTGGCAACCCCGCTCCCTTGTCAGGAGGCGGAGCACACGGGCCGGCGGGAAAGGGCGCGCTGCCCCGGGGACATGGCTCAAGGCTTTTCCCTGCAGCTGGTGGTAGGCGGGAAGCGCCAGCAGCACGTCGGCAAGTTGGGAGGACAAGCCGGGGCTGGCCGGCTCGCGACCCAGAGCCCGAAGCTGCATCTCGATGGCAGCATCCAGGCGCTGGGCGGCCAGTCCGACGGGGCGCGCCAGGAGGAGCCGTACGGGAGTCTCCCGTAGGCCGATTCGCAGGACAGCCCCTCGGGAAGGGTGCGGTAGCAGGTCGCGGCAGAGCGGAGGCAAGGGGCCGGGGCCGGGGACCTGCGCGCTGGGACTCAGGACCCTCAGGAGGCGCACGGCCGCCTGTAGGTGCCGGGCGCAGTCCCGGGCATGGAGGAGCTGCTGTCGCTCGCGATGCAGCCGCAGCAACACCGCCCGGAGACGCTGCAGCGCGGGAGGGATCGGGCGGCCGGCTGCCGGCTCCCGCCACGAGTCCGCGGCGCCTTCCTCTTGGTGCTCTCCTGCGTCCGCCGGCGCCGCCCACCACGGCCGCCCTCCCCGAGCTCCGCGGGGCCGCGGGTCCAGGCAGGGGATGCTCCCGGCAACCGGCAGCCACGGCCAGCCACGAAAGTCCCCGCGAGGAGTCCCCGCCTGCCTTCTCTCCCACTGCTCCTCCACAGCGCCTCCGGGTTGCGCCGTCAACGGCGGCACGGCAGCGAGCGGAGGCAGAAGGCCACCGGAGCGAGACGCCTGGGCCATGGGGCGCCGTGTCCGGAACGAACCTAACGATTCCCACCTCCCAGCACTGCCCAACGCCCGCTGCCGCCGGGACTCCGCCCAGTCCCAAGAGCCGTCATCTCTAGCCCGGGAGCCGCTGGGACCGTCGTGGACTCTCTCGCGCTCCGTAATCGGAGGCTTCTGCCCCTAACAAAGATGGCGGCCTACTCGGTCCTACTCCGCCCCCCGGCGGTATCTAATGCCAGACCATCTTTCACTTTCGGGTCACTCTTGATGGGAGATGGCGCCGATTCCGAAGACAGTGGGGCGGATAAAGCTAAGTAAGCCGCTGTGACAAGACGGGAAGGGAGTCCAGGAGGGGAGGGACAGCCCCACTTGGGTCTACCTGTTTTCAGTAGGGTCTTGTGCTTCACGCGGTGGGCGGAAGGCTCCGGCCCATCCATCCCGAGCCTTTTCACGCGCCACCGCCTTCCTTTACTATAGACTGTCCTCTGCGACCTGGCTGCCCGCTGGGGGTCGCTGCTGTCCCCAAACTCTGCCAGGAATTCGGTCCTGAGGACTACGGCACCGAGGTAAAAGGACTCCGAGCTCCCCCTTGCCCTGTTTATTTTGGTCACGCCTCTTTCCAGCCAGCTGTGCTGAGCCCCGCCACAGCCGGGCGCCCACTGGGCTCCGAGCGCTCCGTGAAGGCGTGGCCTCGGGCTCGGGCTTGGAGGAGCGCTTGGCAGATGGAGGGTGGTGGAAGTGGGCAGGATTGGGCGGACGAGGGTCTCTGAGTTGAGAATTGGGGAGTGGGTGGGAGTTCCTTAGGGTAAGATCTTACGAACAGAGGGAAGAGTGCGAGCAAAGACACCAAGGCAAGGAAGAGTTTAGAGAACCTCACTGAAGTGAGACCTGAGTGGTGTAAGAAATGAAGTGGGGAAAAGGCAGCAAGTAGCATGAAATGCTTTGTCTGGCACAAGGGCTTGGATGTCCTCAAGTAGGTGATAGGGTTATTGAGGGAGGGACAGCATCAGATTTGGGAGCACTTGAGAAGCAGTGTTTCCAGCTGCTTCCTGGGTATCTCCAAAACCTCAAACTCAGCAAGTCCATCAGTTAATTCATCTACTTTGCAAGTTGGCTGCTTTTCCTCTAACAGTTTTGGCTGATAATGCAAACTGACATCTCGTTACTTAATGCAGAAATCTGAGAATCATTGTATATAATCCTCCCTTTCCTTTACCTCACACATTTAGTCAGTCACTAAAATCCACTTTGGAAATGTCTCTTGACTCAAGCCCATCATTTCCTTTCCTGCTCCTGCTGCCACCGCCTTAGTTTAAGAATTCATTCTTTCTGTCATAGGGGCCTCCTAACTAAACATTCCAGCCCTAGAATCATCTCCTTCCCCAGTGCTGTTTCCCTTGAGTGCTTCACTCCCCAGATCAGGCCCACTCCCATCACTGACAAGACGAAGTCCAAACTCACTGGGTCACACAGGGTTCTTCAGACCCAGCTCCTGGCTGCATCTCTAATAAAATAGTCTCCTCACCAATCTCTGTGCCTTTGCTCATTCAACACACTGAGCACCACCAATGTACCAGGCACTGTGTTAGGTACTGGGAAGACAGCAGTAAACCAAACACAAAAACCTTTTAGTCAATGAATTAGAAGCATCTAGTGGAGGCGGCCAGTCAACAAATAAACAATATAGTATGCCAAATATGAAAAATGCAAGGAAAAGTAAAACAAGAAGGATGGGAAGTGCTAAATGAAGTTGAGTTTCTCTTTTTAAAGGGAGTAGTCAGGGCCTCCTGGGAAAGGTTTAAGCAGGGATCTGAAGGGGTGAGCCATTCACTGGGGAAAGAGCATTCCAGGGAGAGGAAGTAACAAGGACAAAAGCCCTGAGATAGGAGCACACTTGGTGTGTTGTAGGAACTTTAGAGGAGACCACTGATCACTGTAGCTAGAGGTGGGGCCAGAGGGTAGGAGATGATTCATGGAGGACTGGGGAGCAGATCGTGTTCGGCCATGTGGTGAATTAAGAGAGTAGCATAAACTGTGCTTTGGGGAGAATTAGAAGGTCAAAGTAATTCCTTTTTTGTTTGTTTTTAGAAATGGCTAGACTGGGGGACGCCTGGGTGGCTCAGTCAGTTAAGTGTCTGCCTTTGGCTCAGATCATGATCCCAGGGTCCTGGGATTGAGCCCCGTATCGGGCTCCCTGCTGAGGGAGCCTGCTTCTCTCTCTCCCTCTGCCTTTCCCCCAGCTTGTGCTCTCTCTCTCTCTCTCCCCCTCAAATAAATAAAGTTAAATCTTAAAAAAAAAAAAAAGAAGAAGAAAGAAAGAAATGGCTAGACTGGGCCAGTTAGGAAGCTGAATTAAACCCACGAGGAAATTGAATTTGAGTGTAAGACTTGATGACTGCACAAAGCAGTGTCCATGAAGATGCTGTTGAGTCAGGACTATCTCCTGAAGGATACCTGCCTCTAAAACTGTTCAGAAAGTTGACTATACTTCCGTGATCTGAAGTCCTTCCTATGTGTTAGTTTAGCCCTCTGGAGTTTCATGTGGCTTCTAAGTTTCTCAGTCGTGGGCCACCAGCTAGTCAGGTGTGTGCTCTGTTTAGGCCTGAATAGGCCACACAGGGACAAGATGACTCCTGTCCTCCTCCAAAGCTGACACTAACTGAGGAAATGATTCTCCTAAGAACCACAGAATGTAACAGGCGAAGCCTTGAAGAGTCTTGTCTCATTTTGTAAATGATGAAGCCAGGGTTCAGGGAGGTTAAATGACTTGTCCAAAATCAAACAGCCAGGCAGTGGCAAAGCCAGAACTAAGATGCAAGCAGCAAAGTGTTCTTTCCAGTTCCATGCTTCTCGCCAATTGAGAGAGCAGTACAAAGCAGTGGATAATAAGGTTCTAAACTGTACAACACAGACTGTATGAGTACAGCTTGGTTGAATGAGGGCAGAGATCATTGGAGATGAAGAGGTTTGAGGGAAGATGGAATTTGAACTGGACCTTGAAGATGAGACAAGGTGTGGTGAGAAGCTCCGAGCCAGGAGGGCTTTGGGGGCAGCTGGAGGGAAGATCCCAACACCAGAAGGAACCTGATAACTGAGGGACAACAGCAACCAAGCAGGAGCAAATTACAGGGGAAGATTAGGAGGGTCAGCCAGGGAGCTTTTTGGAAGGCTCCAAATCCTAGGCTGAGGAGCTAAACTCATTCCTGCCTATGGGCCTGGCAGTGGGGGATTACTGGAAGTTTCTGAGTAGGGAAGTAACTGCTGAGAGGTTGGTTTTGGGGAAAACAGATGACATGCAGGGGAGAGGCCAGCCAGGAACTACTGCGCTCATTTAGGCGTGAGGTAGCTCCAGAGTAGGTTCTATAGGGTTGCCCATATTCAAGGATATGACAGGGGGCATAGCTGGAAGAGCAGGTAAGAAGTCTCTTTCTGAGCCTCAGTGTAGCCAACCTAGTGGCAGGTCAAGGGGAGGAGATCTTATATGATGAAGAAGGCTGGGCTGAGGGCCACACAGAACCCTTGGGAGCAAGAGAGTAGTGAAGGAGGTGATATACCAGGAAAACCAGAGAAGCGTGTCTTCAGGCGCTGAGTGGGGAGAGGTCAGCCAGTAAGGTTCTCCAGGCTGGGGGGCTGGTTTGCGGTCGCCATGGTGGAGGGGTCAACCCAGCCAGGCCCCTCGTTCTCTCCTAGAGCTGCCCCCAACACCAGCCTCCCCTCCCCTCCCCCTCCCAGGACATAGTGGATTTTCTCCGACGGCTTGTGGAGAGCGATCCCCGGGGCCTGCACCGGATCCACATGGACGGGAGCAGCGGGCGGCTACAGCTGTGGCACCATGGTGGGGCGTGCAGGGGCCGGGCCCAGGGATCGAGGCTGGTACCCTGGGGGGGCTGGCCCTCAGATGCTCCTCTCTCTCATGTACCTTTTTCTTTCCCTTCTCCCTATCTCTCCTGACAGATTACCTCCTGGAACATTTCTATGATGAGGGGAAAATGCCTGGACAGAGTGACATGGCCAAGGGGGTCGAGGGACTGGGTACCTACTGTGGTCTCCGAAAGTCCTTCCTATATCCTCCCCAAGGGTCAGAGCCCTGCCCTCCTAGCCCCCCTGCCTCTGCCCCTGCCTCTGCCTCTGCCCCTGGTGGTTCAGACAGCCTACTTCAGGTGGCCATGCCCCAGAAGCTCCTGTTGACCGAAGAGGTGAGACTGTCAGCAAGGGGCTTCACCTCTCCCAGTGCTCTTCCGGATGCCAGATTCCCTCATCTGTCCCCTAATTAGGACCTTTCAGTGTCCTTCCATCCTGCTGGCCTCCCTTTGGCTTTCTTGGTCGCTCTCTCTCTTTTCCTGTCACCTGCCTTTCCTTCTCCAGGAAGCCAACCAGCTGGCTGAGGAGCTGGTGGCTGAAGAGGAGCGCATGAAACAGAAAGCAGAGAAGAAACGACTCAAGAAGAAGGTAGCTAGAGGGCAGGAGGAGTGGGAACCCAGAGGGATTTGGGAGAGGGAAAGAGGGACACGTTGTGAGGACAGGAGAGAACTCAAGGTGGCCCATAGTGGATCCTCTTGCGAGAGGGCCCAGGGGCTCAGAAGCCTGGAGGTGAGGGTCTCGTGGAAGCCATACGGCGTGGTGGTTCTGGAGTCACACTATACCGCCTGGGTTGGAGTCTGCCTCTTTCTTACTGGGAGACCTCTGCCTGGTGACTCTCCTGTCTGCTTTTTCAGCTGTAACACAAGGATAACAACAAAACCTACCTCATGGACCTGCAGAGATTAAATGAGATAGTGTATGCAAAGCTCTTAACCCAGTACACAACCTATAGTCTCTACTGTTCACGTAAAGAATTGGCTTCAAGATACAAGTTGTGTGTGTGTGTGTGTGTCTGCGTGTTTACATATAGTGTTCAAAACACATCATCAGCATCATCGTCTCTATTATTTGCAGCGTCAAAAGGATCGCAAGCGACAGGAGCGCTTGGAGCAGGAGGGTGGGGAGCCCAAGGTGAGTGTCTGCAGGCAGGTCTGAAGAACACTAGGTGCCAGGAGGGTGGGAGCTGAGAAGGCAGGCAGCTCAAGGTG